GGAGGAGGAAGAGGAAGAGAAGAAAGAGGAGGAGAGGAGAGGAGGGCACAGAGGAGGAGAAGGAGGAAGAAGAAGAAAGGAGGAGGAGAAAGAGGAGGAGGAGGAGGAAGAAGAAGAAAGGAGGAGGAGAAAGAGGAGGAGGAGGAGGAAGAAGAAGAAAGGAGGAGGAAGAGGAAGAGAAGAAAGAGGAGGAGAGGAGGGCACAGAGGAGGAGGAGGAGGTGGAGGATAACTGTGGGGTCCTTGGTGCTCTTTGAGCTTCTTTTCTTGCAGACGTTTCATCACCCAACTAGGTAACATCATCGGTTCTATTTCTAGCATTTTAGCCTTTCTCTGTCACCCTTGGAAAAGCAGAGCGCACCTCCAGTTGAATTCTGGGAGCTGAAGTCCACAAGTCCTAAAAGGGCCAAGTTTGAAGACCTCTGCTTGTGGACTTCAACTCCCAGAATTCCTCAGCCAGGCACGCTGGCTGAGGAATTCTGGGAGCTGAAGTCCACAAGTCCTAAAAGGGCCAAGTTTGAAGACCCCTGTTCTATAATACGGTGGCTCTTCCTGCCAGCTTACACGAGGGGCATTTCTCTGGGAAATTTGTATGGCCCATCGCTTGATGAGGGGCTCCAGCAGGGATCCACTTGATCCCAAAGACCAACCCTCTCCAGAAATGCAAATCACCAGAAGACCTGGGAAATTTCTGACCATCCCGAGTGTTTGCAACTCACGACATCTCCCACAACTGCCAGACTCAAGAAGAGCAAGACGTCTTTCAAGATTAGATCTGTTGGTTTATATACCTTCCCGTTTAAAAGGTTTCCCAGGGCAGCTTAAATAGCATCCTTTAAAAAAATAGAATAAAAGTCCAATACGAGAAAGAAAGGCAGCTTGCCCAAAGAGAAGCAGCCATAGTTGTAGCCGGCCTTTTCGATCACTGGCACCGCGATTGGGTTACACGAAGGGGCCCCAACAGGCTAAACCAGGGTTGGCTGCTTCTTTCTCAAACAACCCATGGATTGTTTGAGTCCCGTCATAGGACCTCTGGATCCAAGGTTTCCAGCAGAGAGGCGGGGTGCTCCACCTGCTGCTCACTCATCACATCTGGAGAGGATGTGAGGAGTTCAGAGTTTGTCTGGAGGAGCTTCTTGCCACTGCTGGTGCTCAAGCGTCCCTGGGGTGAGATATGGGGCCTTCAGGTCCACAGGCACGTCCTGCTTTGGTGGGCCAGCTGGAGGACCAGCTGAGAGCTGCGGAGGGACATCCCTCTCAGGCAACTCTGAGGGCTCCAGGGAGCGAGTTTTCCTTCGGTGGGCGTAGAAGGGCTCCAGAAGGCGGACCTTCTCTGGAGGAACGTCCAAGTGCTCCAGAGATGCTTCTCTTTCCCCAGAGTTGTGTTGAAGCCATGCGGGAGCCAGGAGGGGCTCCGGAGGAACACGAGGAGGCCTTACGTGGGGAGGTCTTGCTGGAGGAAGATAAGGTTGCTCCAGGAGAGCGGTTTCCTCTTTGGGAATGAAGGGGGGCTGTAGAGGAGTGATAGGGGGCTGCCTGGGGGTGTAGGGGTGCTGCAATAATCTGGGGCTCTCTGGAGGAACAAAGGGGGACTCTGGGGGGATGTATAGGTCTCCCGAAGGTGTATAAGGGCGCTCGATGCGGCGATGTGTCTCGGGAGGAANATTAAGTGGGTCTGGTCGGAATGTCACAAAAGGGGGTCACGTGACCCCAGGATACGGTGACTGTCGTAAATACGAGTCAGTGGCCAAGCATCCGAATTTTGATCCAGGTGACCAAGAGGATGCTGCAACGGTCGTAAGTGTGAAAAACGGTCATGACCCTTTTTTCAGTGCTGTCGTAACTTTGAACGGTCACTAAATCGACGACTGTAAGTTGAGGACTACCTATAGTACCGAAGCAAATCCTTGAAGAGAATGCTAAATAATTGATGTGATTAACGGCCTCTTGTTTACCGGAGAATTTGGCTTGAGCCAGTTAGCCCAAAAGCTGCTTCGCAAGGGCTAACGGTTCCAGCCTCAGATACCTGGGTTCTCCCCAACAAACCCTCCCCAACAACTAATCAGGAGGGGATGCTGACCCATAACCATAATCCACATCTCCCTGATAAGCACCATGAGACAGACATGGGTGAAGGCAGCCTGCAGTCAGATGGGAGAGGGGCTGCTAAGGTACCCACAGCCACACCTGTCAGTGAGAACATCAAGCTGACCCCTTTCCTCCCCACCAGCCCAGCTTACTCTCTGGACCGTCCCTGTGTGTGGCCACCAGCTGCAACAGGGCCCCGGCCAGCCAAAGACACCCCCCTGGCACGCCCATCCCGAGGGAGGGCTCCAGGCATCTGTTCCACATTGTCCGAGTCATCCTCTCCATCCAGAGGCTGACATCAGTGGGTTCTCTGGCAGCGTTGCTGGGAGACGGGGCTGGCCTGGGTCAGGGGATGGGCGAGGCCCGGGAGGTCCTGGCTTTCCCCCGAGTGGGACTGGCCGTGAGGCGTTGAGGGGCTTGCGAGGACACAACCCAAGGTGCCACCCCCTCTTATTCACCGTTGACATGGCGGGTTTGCCAATGTAGGCTTAGCTATCAGCCCTCCCAAGCAGGTCCCAGGGAAGAAGCATGCTGGCAGTCGATTGGACCACACAAGTTTCAACTATATGAAATTATATTCTTTCTTTTTTTTTTTCTCGGTGACTTTTCATACTTGACACTCTCCGAGCTGGGTGGTTTTCTTGCAGACATTCCATGACCCAACTAGGGAACGTCCTCAGTGCTAGGAGAGAGAGGGGCTTGCAGGG